GCAGATCTTTTTTTTTTTTTTTTCTACAGGATCACTACTTCGGGGGGACTGCAGCCACCATTCTACCAGACTGCTACCACCACCCTGATTAACAGGGTGTCAGGTTGTATCCTGACTCTGTTAGTTTAACCCAGTGCTATCTGCCTTTATATTTTTTTTTTCCTTATTGTTATTCTGACTTGGTGTCTCCCACTAGTTTGTTTTCAAACTAGCACAGAATCGTAACATGGTTTGATCTTAAAAAATTATCCTCAGATTGACCAATACACCTGAGGCGTCTACATGGCTTAGCAGATTTCTACTCAGTTTACTAGGACTGTGTTGTCACTAACAGGAATCCCTGCTCAGCTATATTTTCTTCTTAGAATCCAAATAAAGTAGAAATTGAGGAAATAATCTGAGTTTTTGTAGCTCAGCAAGCTACTTCTGCAAACACGTATTAAGCATTAAAATTCATGCTCTTTAAAAAAAATTCAGATAAGGTAAATTTGCATACCAGTAAGATCGTGTTTTCCTTGATGTCAATAGAAATTGAGTGCAGTGCATTAGCAGTATGAATGAGAGACACCACGCATAGCTGGTTTCTTTAGTTTAGGCATAGAAATTTACTTTTTTATAGAGTGGCTAGGTAATTCTCTGTACTCCTCTCCTTCAGCAAAGTACATTCTACTGCCACATCCAGTGAAGCAGCCATAGGCAGAACCACTATTTCCATATGCTCCTCCTACCCTGCACACCCAAAGTATTTTCAGCAGAGAATGACAGGCCACAGCCCACATCATAGGTGGTCAGTTCCTCACATCTCCATCATATCTTCAGCACACACATCCTCAAGTACCACTCTGTACAGCAGGGCAGCACACATGGAAAGTCATGGAACTGTTGCACAAGTCACATATGGGGCTTCACAGATCCATACAACTTGGGACCAGGGACACTAGAAGGATTCCAGCAAAGAGGAAAAATTTCAGCTGCATATCCAAACTCTGTCAGGTGTATAGCACAATCAAGCCACACATTAGCATCTCATGGAAGCAGAAAGGAACTGGAATGGCAGGGTACAGTAGTAGAACAACATTCAAAGACTTGTGATAACTCAGGGCAGACATAATGACACTTTCATGTTAGAACAGCAGTTTCTGAACAAGGAAATGATTAGTTCTACTTGTGAGTGATTTTGTGGGCATAAGGCTGATTTTTCCTTCACTTGCATGGACTTTGAAGATTCACTTTTCTAACAAATGCTAAGAAAGATGCTGTTTAAAAGCTGCTTGACAGAACTAGTCATTATATGAAGAAGTATAATTACTTTGATCAACCTGGAGAAAATAAGGTATGTGAGAGCATAGAAAAGTCACTTCTGTAATTTCAATTATCCTTATGATAACTGCGCCTCAGACACATCTCATCCATAACCATCAGACCATAAAACCAGGCTATTAAGTTAAAACTTGCACTTTAAAAAAACACAGAACCTTGTGCTAGGAATATGAACCGTGACCCCTTCAGTTCTTTAGAAGGTCTAGGCATTTTCAACATTATTACAAGGGGCCATTAGGAGGACTGAATCCATAGTCTTTATTGATTTAAGAGTCATCCAACTGTACTTATGTAAGTACTACTCAAGTGAGCTACTGTTGTAAGATTATGACTTTCAGTTTTACATTTATACTAGATGGCAGCCTGGAAAACTAAACATTAAACCCAGCATCTCAACTTGAAGCATAAGGTTTCATTAACTTCAGATAAGTTTCTTTTGCGTCTATCGTCTCCCATTTGCCTCACTAACTTTTCGTTTTGGCTCTGCATATAATATTGAGAGCAGATCACAGACAAGTGAGAATCCGCTCAGTAAGAAGCAGCTACAGAAGTGATTAAACAGTTTTTCTGTGGTTTATGATGGCTTTTTTTTCCTTTTTGAATTTTTTCCTAGGTATAGAGGAGTACTTATATTTTGCAAGTTTTGACTTTCTGCAAACATTGCAAGGATAGCACAGCAATCAAAATCATAAACATTTTGAAGTTATCCATAGCCACATTTCCTAGATAGAAATGGACAATGTGATCAGTTAGTACTGCAGTTCCAGTGAATTTCATACTGCATACTTTGTATTTTAAAAAATCACTTTTACCTTTTTCTGCTTGTTTTAAAATATTTGACCCTTCTTTTATTCCACCTCAAAGCTGAATCCAAGCAGTTTGAGTTCTCCTTAGGGGGAGCATGACATTAACACAGCAGGACCCACCGTTTTCCTGTTTACAATATGCTTTGGTTCTGCAGTCTTAAAAAAATACACTACTTCAGTACTATGAGATCATTACTATTAGCCATCAGCTCATTCTAACAAAGCCACAGGCAATGTCTCTGCCACCAAGGATACTTCAAAGACTGATGGCTTGCACTAGTCTTGAAGCGACTAACATACTAATGAAGTGTTATTGTTAACACTGGGAAAACCATTTCAGCTCAAATTCTCAAAAGTACTTGGAGAATTTTACTGTTAACTTCAAAAGAGATGGGATTTCAACCTTAGATTTGTTTTCTCCTGACTCTTAGAAACTGCTTTACCCCTTTCTAGCTAATTTATGCTATAATCCCCTTAAAATCATGAATTTATACTGATGGAAAACTTTTCATAAAGGGGTAGAGAGATAAGTAAACAAAGTGGTCCTTACTGCCCTTTTGAAATCCCACGGAGTGCAAAGATTAATTTCTAAATTAATCACAGTAACACTTCCCATGTATGTCTATTCATCCCTGAAAAGTAGCTTTCTGTATTAGCTTTCCCTCATTTTACTCAAGTTGGTATTTTCAAAACAAACAATGACTGTGACTCCTTCAGAAAGCTCTTATTATCTTTAGACATATTTCTATTTTATTTCTATAACAGAAAATATCTGAAATAAAATCTTGTTCAAACATAGAAAGTTACTTCTTTTGATACATAGTCTTAAACTTTTCTGCACATTGAATGTTAAATAGTTGGAAAACTCTGGTTTATACATGAAATATACAATAAAGGTACAATATAAATAAAATAGTTTATTGCAAATATTTTAAGAGAGCTCTACAATACACTTTCAAAACATTTTATACAGTATTCTGTCTTTCAATATGAAACAATTCACACAGGGAGAAAAAAAATCTCAATATATAACTATAGTCATTATTAATGTACTGAATCCATCTATCATAGAAAAATCAGAGTAACTACAGACTATTTGAGTATCTTCCCCGGTTTTATTCTCTGAAAATGGGAAAGAATAGCATGTATGAAAATAAAATAAGAACTCCTTTCACGTCATGGTTTGAACTCAGGTGGTAGCCAATCACCACCTGGCCAGTCGTTTACATCCCTCCTCCAGCCTTCCCGGCAAAACAGGGGAGAGATTAAAAAAATAAAATAAAAAAATAAAAAAATTCATAGGTTGAATAAAAAAAAAATTAATAATAGTAACAAAACAACAGTAACAATAGTAACTCCAAAGGGGTAAAATACAGCAGTGTCTCACCGACTGGCGACTGATATGCAGCCCACCCCCAGCAGCGATCCCGACAGCACCAGAAATCCCACTGTGCTGACTGGGAAACAAAACAGGCCATGAGAGCACATGTCCACCTACACACCGAGCATGACGTCACATGAAATGGAATGCTCCAATGATTGATCCGGGTGGCCCTCTACCTGTGCTCCCTCTCAGCCTGATAAAAGTTATCTCTATCCTGGCCGAAACCAGGACACCATCATGCACTTCCTTTATACCAAATACTACAAAGCTCATGCCACAGCAAAACTCAGATAAATCACTTCCAAAAATAAAAAAAAGTAGTTATCAAAACCATTTTACTTAGATAAACATGAATCTATTTAAATAGTGAAAAGAATGCCATGTATCTTAACTTAGAAATAAGATTAAACTTCAGGTTTCAATTAGTCAGAAGTTGCATAACAAAGGAAAATACCCTAAAAGGTAGGGTTTTTTCAGGAAAAAAAAAAAAAACAAACCAAACAACACTTCATTCTTGTTTGCAATAATAAAGCACCACTGCACTTAAAACTTTTCACCAGCCCCACAGGCATAACAGGCAAAGCTGTCTACTTAACAGGAAGTATAACTACAGATTCTATGAATAAAAAACTCAAAATTACTTAATTTCAACTAAAAGTCATTTTCAGTATATTTAATACAACAAAAACACGATTTCCTGACAAAACTGCTCGTCTGAGTTATCACATCTTAGAGAATGTTTCTTTCATTGGTGCAACATGTATGCTAGAAGGAAAGGAGACTGGAACAGATAGATAGTAAGTGGCTTTGTAATGCTGATGATAATTTTTTGTTCTCTTTTCTTGCAGAAAAATAGTTCAGTATGGTATGAATTGGCCAAAAAAAGCCAGAAAAGGCAAAGGATATCCAAAGAAGTGGAGATAATGAAGTAGTGAAATGGATTAATTGATTAGAACCCTGCTATTTTAGCACTACTTGTATCATAAAGTGAAAAGATCTAACTCTTCATCCATGGATCTCCAAGCACATTACAAAAGTTAATTTTTTTGTATTAACAGTTCTATAATACCACATCAACATTATTTAAAATATTTAATGAGAAAATATTTTCCCCTTTTTCTCCTTCCTCTTTTTTTTTTTTTTGCCTTTTTTAGAAAGTATGAAATAAATACAGCAAGTCTCCTTTGTTTGCAACATACAGTAAGCCAGAAGAAAGTAAAAAGACCTCTATTCTGGATATTACCTTTTTATTTTACTTTTCTGATAGTTACAGGAAAGCATAATGTCTTCTAATAACTTCTAAAATATCTGATTCATGGAGCATTGCAGATTGCTGTAACACAATGCAGTAAGAATGTGTATTTATAAATTAATTTAGGAAAAGATATGCAAAATTGCATATTTTGTTTCACACATCTCACATTCACAAATTACATCAAGTAGACAGTTCTGGAGACAGTAAATTAACTCTTTACAAGGTCACCTCGTAACAGAAAGAGACAATCTAAGTGGAACTCAGCTTTAAGCTCTCTTTAAAGTGAGTAAGGTGGTGTCTTTTCAAATGTGGGGCCTGTCTGAATTTTTTACCACAAACTGAACATTCAAATGGCTTCTGTCCAGCATGCATTAGGTAATGTCTTTCAAGCTTAGAAGGCGATTTAAAAGTTTTAAAGCAGATACTGCATTTATACAATTTGTTAACAACTTCACTTTTTTCAGTACCTTCAGAAAAATCACGCCAATAGCTGTAACAACTTTGCTCTGTTTCCAACAATTTGCTACACAAATACGGCTGTTTGTTTTTACTGCTGGTGTCAAGAACAACATCCCCTGATTTGATTTCAACCTTCACTTCAGCTGCTCCGTTTGACTGAATCAGCTCAGATTCTTGCGAGCCAGATGCCTGTGAAGGTGTTTGAGAATAGCCCAAACAACCCACAGGCTGAGAAGACTCCCATTCAGCGTGATCTCCCCGATGATTGAAAACTCCATTCAGGTTTTCAAATTCTACCTGGCAAACAGAGCTTTTATAGGGTCTCTTTCCAGTATGGGTGAGCTGATGTCTCTTTAAGTGAGCTGACTGTCTAAATGTCTTGCCGCAAACATTACAGCCAAAGGGCTTCTGTCCTGTGTGTGTAAGATAATGTCTTTGAAGTTTGGATGAAGATGGAAAGATTTTTTCACATCTGTCACATTTACACACTTTGTGTCTGTTACATATATTTTTAGCAGAATCTGAAAAAGCACAGTGAAGTACTTCTGGATTACCAAAGAAACCATCATCTGATGAACCACAAAAAGTGCCTTCATTATCCAGTGAATCAGCGATGTTTAACATGTTTTCACCAGCAAGTGTACCTTTTAAATTAATTCCAGAGGCATGAGGTTGTGGGTGCTCTTGACAAGGTAACTGCCGAGCAAGCGTTCTTTTCATCCGATTACGAAGTGCCTTGTGCATGTCAAGCTTGCTATGACAATCCTTAACAGGTTTAGTAGAAGCATGCTGATCAGAACGCTGATCTCTAGCTGCAACCAGGTCAGGACTTTTAAAGTGACCTGATTTTATCTTTTTTCTGTCAGACAGAGAAAAATCTGTTGCCTTTCCTCCAGTACGCTTTAGCTTCATCAGGATTTTATTTTTCATGCTGACTGTGTGGCTGCATGCTGTTGTAGCATTATTTGAGCTTTTGCCATCTCTCAGATAACATTTGTGCAAATTTAGAACCTGCTCCGTTTCAAAACACTGCTCACATGCTGGGCACTGAAAGGGTACAATATAAATTGAGTGAACATCATGTGGGTCGTTTTCCTGTGACTTGTGTGTGTCAGCATTCTCACAACTATCCCTCTTTCCTTCCAACAGGTTGTGTGGTCTGGGATATTTGAGAGTCTTTGCTTTGTATACAACACTGGGGAAAGTCTTATTTCTGGCATGGAGCTGTTTGTGCTTCATGAGTTTGCTTTGTATTTTAAACTGCTTCTGACAAAAGCAGCACTGAAAAGGCCTTTCTTCTGTGTGTGTGAGCTGATGGATTTTCAAGTGTGTTGACTGTCTGAAAGATTTACCACATGAAGAACACTTAAAAGGTTTCTGGCCAGTGTGAATAAGGAAGTGTCTTTCTAGCTTAGATCTCGATGGAAATGTCTTGTTACATGATTCACAAGCATGAGTTTTCTTTCTCCTTCTAGCCCCACGTAGACGATCTGCCTTCAGACACTGATGCATCATCCACCTCTTTTCAGTTGTAAAAGACTTCCAGCATGTAGAGCATCTAAATATACCACAAGTGCCTCTGTCTTGCTCAGAATTCACAGAGTTTTCTGGTTGCTTGGTATTATTCTTACAATTTTCATTATGAAGCTTCTGATGCTTTAAGAAAGTGATCAAATTTTTGAAGTTTCTATAACAAACAGTACACTTAAAAGGCAGATTATGGGTTAACTGATGCCTCTCCAGGTGGACTAGCTGCCTAAACGTTTTATGGCATACATCACATTCAAATGGTTTTTGACCAGTATGTATAAGATAATGCCTAGCTAATTTTGATGGAGTTTCAAACTGTTTACAGCAAATGTCACAAATATATGGCTTTTTCTTGGGTATCCTGTCAGCTGTTACACACTGCTGAACTTTTAACATCTTTAAAAGAGCAATTACACCTTGCTTACTGTTAAGTTTCTTCAGATAAGTATTTCAAGTGAAATCATCAATTGCACACTAAGATGGAAGACTGTAGAAGCAGGAAATTTTCTTAGAAGAGATATTCTTCAATCCCACAAGTCCCTAAAATAAGAAAGAGTATTATTTTAGCCTGTATTAATATACAGTTCCCTAAGTTTGTCTTGTTTTCTACATGAGACCAAAAGCATGTAGATTAGAATACTCCTGATTTAACTTAGCTTTAAATGCTTTCCTCATAAGAGAGTAATCCCTTGTTATGTTACATGATAATTTCCAGAAGAAACAAGTTTAAGTCATCTGTACTGTAAAATGCAGCTATACTTCCAAGTAATATGTAGTTCAGCTACATTATGATATTTTGAGTTACTTACAAATAAAGCATATTCTTAAAAAAAAAAACAAAAAAAACAAGAATTTACTGTAATAGATTTCTACCCTACAGCAGTAATTCTAACTCCCAGATATAATATTTATGAAGACAAGAGAAAAAGAGAACTAGGAATTCTTGGGCCTCAGAAATAAAAACTAAATTAATGCAGTGCTAGTGAGAAGTAATACTTTGTTTCAATGTATTGTTAAAGTTACTATTCACATTTCTGCAACTTATTATATCCAGTAGTGTAATATTTTTTTCTTTATCTCAAACTGGTGAATACCAGAACCAGTCAGCAAAAGCAACACACTAACCATAAGCTACGACCAGAACAAGGATAACCCTTTCATTATCTGACCACAGAGCTAGTATATCAGAGTTGTGATACCTAAACATCAGTATACTCTGAAGTCATCATAAAGGTTGTTCTCATAATTCATCATAACGAATGTTTTAGTCTAAACCAAAATCATGAAGTAGTCAGTTTTAATTTTCCTTGAATTTTCAACAGACACCACACTTGGGCAAGCAACTGTGTCTCAGCTAAGGCATAATGACTTACAAACAAGCAACAAGAACTTTACAAATACCTGTGAGTGCATGATAAGTGATTATTCATAGGAGCATCTAGAAAGAACCTCAAGCAACCATTTAGTCCAAGCCTTCCACTTTGAGACAACTCATGTCTAGATAACCTCCAAAGCAGTCTTAACTTCTGCTGAAGGAGGTTCTTTAACCTCAACACAGCTCCTGCTCCAATGCACTGCCCTCTCACAAAGTTTGTCTTTGCACTCAGCTGAGACTTTCTTTACTACAAAGTTGCTTTCACTGTCCTTCCCCTTGTGAACCTGGCAAATAACTAAAAAGGGCTCTCTGTCACAGCTTTATGTATTTAAAGTCTCCTTTTTCTCTTTCTTTTTTAATAAGAAAACTTTGGTTTTCGAACATATTGCTCTTAGGTCCACTAAAAAAAGAAGAAAAAAAAAAAGATAACTTAACTGATTGTTCTTTTTAATCATCTCTGGACTAATTTCACTTGGTCACATCCTTCCTAAATTACAATTTCTAAGGCAGATTAAGTAATAATATTGATATACACAAGACATTTCTACTATGATTTGTGGTATTTTGATACTACAACTCAAGTTGTATATTCTTTCTACATGACAGCAGAATAAAAAATTCTTTTATTAAGTGTCTAAAAAACCCTGTCTCTTCACAAAGAGTTAATGTCCCTAGTTTTTAAAAATTCAGAACTATCTGAAAAGCCCATTCATTCAAAGTCATCACAAAGATTAAAAGCCTACCGCAATTTAAAGCAAGTTACGATGAGATTCAAGACACATGCACAAAAGACTGAAAATATCTGGTGAATCAAGATTTTTCTTAAGCTTAATGGAAAAAAACCTGGTCATCTGGTAGGATCATTCCAATCTAACAGATATGTTCCTACATAATTGGGGGCCTTATTAAAGTAGCATTTGGATGTATGCCTTAGATGCAGTTGTCACTACACTGAGGAGTTACCTAATCTCACTGAAACTGTTCAGGATAGGAATTATCAATGCTATGAATCAGTTGAAAAAGTCAACTTTTCCTTTCCTATAGAATTTTAACAGCTACTCTGTTTCAGTCTTCTTTTGAAGATGCAAGAAAACACAACACTCTTAGGAGACTCCCTTTTCCTCCCAGTTGTTGTCACATCATATGAAAGCTGGGAGTTTAGAGAGAATGCATGACACCAAATGCTTTCTAGTTTGTGCTACCACGAAGCTAGACATAGGTAGGCTGAGAAAAGCTTCTCTGCTATGCTGAAAGTTTCTGTAGAGCTCAAGGCAGCCTTCATTTGCAGGGAAGGAAAACCTCCTGAGAAAGAGCTGTAAAGACTGATTAATTTTAGTTAACATACTGTCATACAGATCCAATTTACACATCAGGAAAACACTCCGTGTTGGTTTAAGCCCTGCTGGGATGGAGACCACATTGCCGTTGCTACTCCCCCACCCTCAGCCGGTTGCTGGCAGTGAGGCACAAACCCCAGGTTAAAATTAGAAAAAAATCTAATACAACAGTGTAATAAGCAATCTGAACAACAGTAGCAATGATAGCAACAATAAACAGCAATAACAGTAAGCAAGACAAAAGATATACAGAGAAATACCGCAATGGTTACAGACAGCTCTCTCGTCCTGCTCCCCGCGACCCAAAGCCACACAGGGAAAAAGTTCCCATGCCCAGACCTGGTGGTCATAATGGTATGAATAACCCGGCTGGAGATCCCTTCCCCCTCTCTGCTGAGGAAACTTAACCCTATCCTAGCTAAACCAGGACATGCTCAAACACTATAGTGACATGCAAACAAAAAAAGTCTGAAGTAAAAGACAGATGTGGCATATTACACAGGGGATTTTGTATTTAGCTTATAAATTTTTTAAACATTCTATCTGGTAAATGAAGAAAATACTCTGTAGTACAAGGTGTCAAAACCAAAGTAGAGCTTCTTGCTGTGGTCTTGCCCTGTGAAAGTCTAGAGACTCAGATGAGGTAAATTTAGAGGATGCAGAGGAAGGAGAAAGGAGCCAAGATGGGCATTACTGTGTGGCCCAAATATATTTTCAAATCCTATTTACTAAGAACAGACTTCTCCACGTCTATTTCGAGGTGCTCTGTGCCTTGCATATCCAAGGAATAAACATGCTGCTGCTAAGGATCAAAGAGCAAAAGACAAGCTTGGAATACTGTCTCCTGCCAGCCTTGAAAGTACTCAGGCTTGTCCTAATTAAGAGTCAGAAAATGTACTTCCCTATGTGATAAGGTTTTAGTTTCTGGCATAGGTCCAATTTAATATTAAATTGACACTACTTTTCATCTTGGCTGTAAGATCATGCAGAAAAATAGAATCAGGAAGTAATGTAGGCCACTGAAGGTCCACAGAGGACCCTCCTTAAGTCTAGTATTACTTTTGACTATGTTTATTAATATTACAGGTGGCACCAAGCTACAACAATATAAAAACAAGATGGAAGAAAATTCTGAATTCTAATCTAGTCTTTATTAGTAAGAGAATGTTTTTTAAAAACAAAACAACATAAAAAAACAAAACAGGAAGGGCACTTTAATAAGAAGAAAGGCAAGATCTTCAATTTCGGTGAGAAATATCAACTGGAAGAAGAACAGTTTAATAGGTTATAGTTGTGCAAAAGAGACCTGGAGTCTAAGTTGGAAGAGAAGCTGAATGTGCCAACAGCATAGCATCCATACCAAGATGCATAAACAGAAGTAAAGCTTTGATAGAACATAGATCTTCCATACTACTCCCTACTGGTTAGAATTCAGCTGGACTACTCCATCCAGTTTCAAATACTGCCCTTAAAATTGAGTCAAGCATATGAAGTAATTTGAATTAATTCAGAGAAAAGGATCAAGAATGATCAGATCTTAAATGCATAATATACAGGCAAAGATTAAAATGGGAATGTTAAGTTAAAAAAAAAGGAGACCTGATTAAAAAGAACAACCCCCCCTAAAACAAACACCAGAGTCAGCTTAAAAGAAAATGGAAATAAGCTGTTCCCCAAGCCATGTACAGTTGTGACTAGAAATGGCTTCAGATCATCGCGAAGAGGATTCAAGTATGTTATTGTCCTTACAATTGCAAAGTTCTTCTTTTTGAGCATGCAAATAAGTTGTGTGGGGAGACTGCTTTGCCTCTAACACCAGAGGTCTTCAAAAAAGGTTGTACAAACATCTCTCAAATTCTCACACCCATATAATTGGCCCTATACAAGATAAATATTCTGGCTTGTTTTCCTATGACTCATTAATATAATTCAAAATAAACCACTTAAGAACTGAAAATTCAATATATTTCCAAATTTGCCACTGAAGGAGTCTTCTGCATTAGTAGTAGCATATCCTCAGATCCCTAAGATAAGCTAATACAGCTTTCCAGACACAATTACAAGAAAATTAGTAATAAATGTATGAACAAACTGAAGGCGCCTCTTGTAACAGTAACTGCAATACATACAAGTGAAAATCTAGCTGCCGATTTATGAAACACATAGCATGCAACAGAGGTAAGGAATCTGAGCGCGCACACACACACACACTGGATTTCCTGACCAGCCTTCCCTAGGGAAAAGCTCAGCTAGCTGCGATGGGACAACAAATTACACCAGAAACGTAACCTTCACCTGCAAGTTACACAGAAGCCATCATCATACATGATGGCTCCTCAATGCTAACACCTCTCATTCTCCCTTGTTTTCCACAAAAACGTTTTCTGAAGCAAAACAAACGATACATGACGGTGAAACAGGGCTGGTTTAAGAACAAACCTAAGTTCTGCGGATGAGCTCAAGACTCCCGGGACTGACACCACCGCACCTCCCAGCAAGACACACTTAAATGCAGTTAAAAACTTAAAAGCCATTAGTGAGGCGGCTCTTACAGGGCGCCGACGGCTTCTCACAGCGGAAAGCGGACGCCCTGCTCAGGCCGCCCAGGCACCCCCGGCCCATCTTAAACTCTTTA